CCGTGAAAAACAGACCGGATGAAAAAGGTGAGCGTGTTATTCGATCGATCGAAGATAATAACAATATTAATAAGAACGATAGGAAGAAGGAGAGGAGGAGGAGGAAGAATCGCGGTTGATGGAGCATCGTCGAGGTCGTAGGCCGTAGGTCGTAACAGGTAGAGAAGATATCCATGGCTACATAGATGCGCCATGGTGGGGATGGATTAGGTCAGAGCGACTGTAAATAAGGGGGCGAACCGGATAAAAAGGAGAATTTATGGTGAAAATATTTGTAGGCATTCCCATGCTAGGTAAACCATCTCGTAGGCGAGGGTGGGCCATTGACGGTTTTGTTGAAAGTTTCTTCCATAAATCCCGCTCGCATTGTCGGACTTTCAAGAGGAAACCCGCAATGCCATTGTGACACGCCTTACGGAGTGCTGTAAATAATAACCGCCCGCTCGCCCCGCATTTCTCGCCCAGCCTCCTGCTCCGTCTCCTCCAGACCGTTGCGACACGTCTTTCCTACCAAACCAGCTTCTTCCCTCCCTTCACTCTTTTTTCTTCTCCCCTATGCACACTCCCGTTTCTCTCCAACTTTTTTACGCCACCTCGGCTCCGTGTTTTTTCTTCTAGCCGGCCACCGATCGCAAGCTTTTCCCCGCGATCGAGTTTCGCATAGCCTCCGGCGAAACGAGTCACGAGCGAAAAAATCCTGTAATTCGATGTACACTGAGGGAATACGCTTAGACCGCCGGTTAATCGATCCGCGAGTAATCGGACACGTGTTAACAACCAGTCGGTTTCTCGTCTTCTCGATGTGTGTAAGTGGCGATCGTAGTAAAGTCGGAGAAAATTCGAGCGGCGATTAACGATTCGCGGGAAATTTACGGCGCGACGCCCGTTATATCCAGCTCGATGATCCCGAGTAGAACGGACCGGGCATCGACGGTTGTAAACTTGCCGGTAACATGAAAGCAATAAAATCTTGTCGAAACGTCGTGAAATCTCTTGACGCCCACGTCGTAATCGAACGTTTCCACGTTTCTATCGATAGTCCGACCGACCGACCGACCGACCGACCGACCGACCGATCACTTGCAGAAAAGCGGAAACTAAGATAGGCGTGCGATAGCGAAATAAGTATTTAATCGGAAAAGTCGTAGATAATAGGAGAGGGAACGCGGTTGGTTGACGTCGGCAGAGAATGGCGCGCGCGCGCGGAAGGAAAAGGAAAGGAATCGCGGCAGCCACCCACGGAGACTCGGTAGCCTTCCCTTCTTCTTCACCGTTCGCATTCTACCACGCTACCCCTCCCGTCTAGCGCGTCGTCGTCCGTGCTTTGGACTTTTCGGTAATCGTCCAACGACCTCTCAGATTCGTTGAAAAAACCAAAGGTGAATTTTTCCGAAATTTCCACGATACAGATGGCGCGTTGTCGTCCAGCCGTAGG